GTCTTTTTCATTATTTGTTTACTATTTTTGAACTCCGATAATTTAGTCGTAAAATGTTCTTCAGATTTACCCTTTATATTGGCATACTTAGGTTCAAGATGTCTTTTAAGAAATGATGGTTTCATACTTTGATTGGATAGTAATAGCTCATTGTAAACTATACATTGAGGTTGAGGGTTCATTTTATACCCATTCTCAGTAAACCCAAATGATGAATAACTTTCATTATATTTTCTATAAACATTTTTTCTTTTTCTTTTCAAGATTCTTAATTCTAGTAGATAGCATTTGTTGTAGGTACTTTAATAATGGTTGTAACAAAATGGGTGAAAATTCAAGTAATGCTTAATTCAGAGTTCATATTTTCTTTATAAGTCCTTAGGTTTTTTGCAGCAGCAGTTTGTTTCTGCCAGTTAGCTTGATTATGCATTGTATGAATTCACTATTTTACTTTGGAAAATGCTTTCATTATGTTATTGCTATAATTTTGTTTACAACTCACATCATATTTTTTAAATCACTTATCAAGAACTTTGTGATCACCCTATAGATAAATTCTATTGTAGGCACATTTATATATTTATTTTAAAATTGAGTTTACTATCCTAAAATTTATATTTTTAAAATTGTTATACAGTGGATGCTTGTTAATTCAAAGATTCTCAGAAAAGAGTTTGAATTATCTGATGTTAAGAGAAAATATAACTAACTTTAAAAATGATCTCCTAGTGCATATAACCCCAGAAAATATATTATACTATGCTATCTAAAATTAAACATATTAAAAAGCAATAAAGACTTACCTTAATCATAAAATGAAGCAGAAGATATGCAGTATAAAATAAACTTTAATTAAAAATATGAATTACACTTTTGGCAAAAACTGTAAAACGATGTTTGGTTTTGTTTATTATGCGTACATGTTTCAACATGCTTTTCGATTTGAAGTAAACATTTCAATTCATTTTCAGAAGAAGGTTTAATCTGAATAAATGCTTTCAGAGTTTTATAGAGCCCATTATGGCTTGATCATTAAAATGCTTAACAGTGTCTTCATTCTGTGCTGAATCCGAAAAGGTCTCTTATTTTTCATCTCGTATAGTTTTTACTGTGTCATCGTCACTGAGTTTTCCACAGATTTCCAAGTTTTCATCTACACTTACATAATCAGAAAAAGTAGCGTTATCACATTAAAACTTTTTTAATTCAGGAAAAGCTGTATGAATATTGTCACATTCTTAGATATGATTGTTCTCTTCGGCATGCATGAATTTAGCATGACAAATGCAATTGTGCTTTCTTTAGCAGCATCTCGTGCAGCATCTAGATTATGTATGGCTGTCTGCAGAGTAATGTCATAGATTTCTTGTAAGAGTCTCTTACAGAATTATCTCTAATTTGTTATAAGATTCTGGATGATTCCGTGATACATTGGTTGTAGCTTCACACTTATGTTTGACGGCAATTATTCAACTAGTATGGAACTCAGTTCTGGATGGTTGGTTATTGTGGCAGATTGTGTTATCCACAAATAAGAGAAAATTTTATGATTTTCCCTCAAAAACTGTTTATCCATTCCTTTTAACCAGTTACTGAAGGTGTCTCATGTCATCTATGCTTTTGCATTGGATATGTAATCAACTAGCAGTGTTTGAATTCCTTTAAAACACTGTGGATTCTTGGACTTTCCAGTGACTAATAATTTAAACTTTTCGCTTCCATCCATAGTTGCACAAACTAAAGCTGTAATCCTCTGTTTTGTTTGACAAGAGTGTATAAAAAGTGCAGTTTCTTCCGCATTAAGAATATCTTTTGGAAGGTAAGTAGTGAAAAGCCCTGGCAGTTCCTACTGAAATTACTGCATATGTCTTCCTTTACATCAGAGCTTTGGCCACATACAGCTTGATAGGAAATATTGTGCTGTGACTTAAATCAAGAAAGCCTTTTATGACTGCATTTAAAATCTCTAATACCCATTCAACTTGTCAATTTATCAGTCTTCATCTGCTATAAGGGTCCGTTTATTGCAAAATTTCGAGATTTAACCTCCTGGAACCACATCAGTAGAGCTTTTTCTAGATCTTCTGCTGCATTTCTCATGTGTTTCCTTCCTCTAGCAAATTAAAATTTTTCCCATGAATCTGAAATTGATCCCCCCTTTTTTTCAAATAAGTTGACTTTATTTATTTATTTATTTATTTTTTATTATATAGTCAGCTTCTAACTTTGCTTTACATTCAACATTCTCTACTTTCTTTAAAATTTCTACCTTTGTCTCCAAAGTTAGGGTCTTGTACTTTCAACGTGTAGATATCCTGAGTTTGTACACATTCACACCACACACTAAGGCAGAAAAACTACAGCACATTAACTTGTCCGCACTGCAGGCATATCTGATGCAGTTTTCTAGAATGTGTAGTAAAGACCAGGACTTAAAAGAGAAGGGCTAGCTCATAGAGCTTTTTTCCCTGAAAGAGGCAGTGGGGAGTGATGACGTAGCCATGATGACACTGAGCACGGAGATGCAATTGACAGCATAGAAATTGGCGTTTTAAATCTGAAGAACCAGCATTTAAAATGATCTTGTGTGAAAGAAGCTATAATTAGAAGAAGAGAATTTACTGCGTATGCATTTACACTGAAATTAAAAAAAATTTAATAGTACTTCAATTTAAAAAATAACAGATAAAATGTGCTACTTTAGCAAAAGTTCCCCCCCCCCTTTTTTTTAATTTGCTGGATTTTTTTCCCTTTAAATGCCTGTTTATTTCTAATTATTTCTTTATCTGCTCTAACTAAGAAAACTGTACTACTACTTCTAAGATAACTAAATAGCGATTAAAATTAACCAGAAAAAACCTTAAAATTGCAGTTTTCTTTCAAAATTTCTGCTAATCTAAAGTTTGAGTTTCAGCCTAATTGAAATTTACTTGGCATTATTTTTCTCCGATTCAATATAATAACATATATTTTTTTAATAATTTTGTAACTTAGGCTTACATCATATTATATTTTAAATAAATGATGTAAGATTGTTATCTTAATTTTAGACAAAACACTTACTCACAGTACCTAAAAAAATTATTTAATTTTCAAAAGTGGGGGTTAAGGAGGCAGGTTTTCTTATGCCAATTACTTAATGTACTATTATATTTTATCTAGAGTGCTAAGCTAGCACAAAATCGAATCAAATAACAGGATACATAACTAACAAAATTAGTTCTCATTTGAAATATCTTTACGCTATAACTTCTAAAATGTCATTAGAAATATTCAAATCAAACATATTATATATGCTTCTCAAGTCACAAAGCAACTACGATTGTTGAAAATATTATTTATTGGCTACCACATTCGAAGCAATCCACTTTTTTGCCTTTTGGGTGCTTTTCTTTGGGAAAAAACATAGTATGCAATTTTATTTAAGAAACATATTCTACAGAGCTCTTATGACAATGCAACGTGAAATATCTTCACTAGTCCACCTGATTTTTTCCTTCTTTTCTAGCAGTGCGTTAATGCACGTTGTAAAAATATGCTTTAGATGTTCTTCCAAATTCTCCGATCTATGCTGGTTTTCCCTAAATTTCGCTGTTTGGAATTTTAGTTTCTGAATTCCTGTACAAATTCTTCTAGGTCCTCCACCTTCTTTGTCATTGAGCAACATAAAAATTTTTCTCCTTCTCTATTTTTCAGTATTTTATTACAATTTTTAGGATTTATTTTGTTTTTTCAAATTATCAATACATTCTTGTTTATCTTTACACTTAGGATTCAGGGATACTGTCACTTGTGAGTTTATTTCAAAATCAATTCCATTTGATTTATTATTGTCAGCTTCAATTTCATTCTCGGCGTCAAAAATAAATTTTCGGGGGACTTAATTTGGGTGTCAAAAAAAGTACTCCATTAGTTTTCTTTCAAAATGTCTCGAATTTCTTGGTGTTTTTTATTACTGCACGCGATAAATTTCTTTCGGCACAGTATTGCATTTCAAACAGTTTTCTTTTGCGGCAATCCAAACAGCTATTCTCATGTCATCTTCATAATCACTGACAGAAAATGTTCACTGCATTCTTGCGTTTTCACATTAATAGAACCTGTCTTCGACATCTATGTATCCTGAAAAAATATGGATGTTCTTTCAACAAAAGCAAATTGCCTTTGGAATCATGAAATACAATCTCTCTTCCTTTATTTCTATAAGTGTTACGGCACGTTGCTACAGTGCAAGAACCAATTAACATAAGGACTTTTAAATATAGAATTTAAAGGAAAACTGACTAAAAACTAATATATATATATAATATACACAAATTATTTTAAATATTGCGGTATTAGAAAACAAATATGATGATTAAAATTTATTTGGAATATGCGACCTTCAGAAAATCGTCTCAACAACTGACAAAAAAAACAGGAAAAGTGCTTAAAATCAGAAGCAGGTGCACAGACACATCAGTTACTTCCAACCCCCCTTCATGGAGGGGGCGCAGGCGCGGATCGAACACGGGAATGACTAGCCCTTCTATTTACCCTGTAAAGACGTTTTCCTATAAAGATGAAACATACGAAAATAAAAAGATACCCCCTAAAGGACCCTGAAAACAGGAAAGGAAAAAAGAAAAAGGCGGCATGGGGCTTTGTCCATTAACCACTGATAAGAGGTGGACAATAGCTATTAATGTTTAGTGGAAATGCAATAGTCTAGGAATGCAAGTATGTCCTTGTTACACAGAAAGAAATATGGATGATTATGACACCAAAAATAAACAAGCATATTTTCTCCGTTAAATAATAAATTTTGTCCCATTTTTTAGGTTGAAATTAATGAGAAAAACATTAGGCCAATACCAGTTTTTGGGATTGGATGAGTCAAATTAACCAAATAAATAAAAAAGCATCCACCTGTAGGGGGCGAAAATATGATGCTAATGTATATTTTTTTTGTTAAATATTATTATTTAGTTAATACAGAATAGCTGATAATGAGAGAGAACAAGAAATTTGTACAAGCCAACTCCTCTTCCAGTATTAGCTCTTAGGCATCCAATAAAGGAGTATACGTAAGTAAAAATATCTGTTACATAATACTCAATTAAAAGTATTTGTAATGTAAAAATAATTTTAATTCTTGTTATTTTTTTAGATGGAAGAATTTAGGTGAAAGTCTAGTCAACATGTATGATTGTATATCAAATGCAGAACCTTCCATTGTAAGCTTATTGAAATATTTTTATTATCTACTTATATTTATACAATAATATCCTAAAATCAAAGTGCAATGTTTTGATAGTGCTGTAAACTCAGCTTTATAAGTGTCTTTTCAAAAATAGTGGGGAGCTTATTATAATTACCTCCTCGGTTGAAGGAATATTTTATACTATAAGAAAATCATCAAACAGAAATTGCACCCCCCAAAAAAAAATGTCAAGAAAAGGCGACACAAGAATGGCATAAGCATTTAATAAAAAATATGAAACTTAAGAAACATAAAAGTACATTTGCATTTATTTCTTCCATGCAATTTTTCTTTAAATTTATTTTTTGCATGTAGTTGGTGCCATATATTTTCAGTTGCTACTGATGTGACTCCAAAGGGGTTTTCTTTTCCTGTGTATTGGTGCCACATTAATTCTGCTGGGTACAGCTCAAGATCGTATTGAGTTAGATGCAGTGTTGTTTTCAAAGCAAAACAAAAAAAGAAAGAGGGTGTTTTACCTTGTAATAGAATATGCAAAAACTATCTTGAAATGAGCCTATATGTCAATGATAAAAGTATTTGGAAATGCTATTTTAAAAGTTATAGGAAGAAAGGCATTTGTGTTGGAAATTGGTTAGTTCACTTATATGTGGGTTAAAGAGCTCACATCCATTAAATAGCAAAAGAAACATTTAAAAAATGTGAAACATGTGTTGACTAAAGTAAATATGTTTCTTGCTTGAGGTTTTAAGTAAGGTTAATTTACAATTGATGTAATGACAGGAATGATTTCTTTCACAAAGGCAATGATTTTCTTTCACAGTGGCTGCTGCTGTTACACAAAAATATCGTTTATATATCAATAGTTTTCATATTTTGGGAGAAATTGTCTAGATATTGTCATCAAAATTTATTTAATGATGTGTATTTTATACATATTGTTAATATCTATAATTTTTTCAGTCATTCAGCTGCAAAATTGACTTATCCCAACATGTGGAAAATACTAATAAAAGTCGTGATACGAAATCTGATCAATTACCTTTAAATTCTCCTGTATCTTCATTGTCTGAAGCTTGCAGTAGTAGTTCAACCTCAAATGTTGCTGCATCTCACACTTCGTTGCAAAATGGAGGACTGCTTCAACTTGCAACTGTACCTAATGGTGAAGTTCAGAATCAACAAGGTAAGTAGTTATTGATTGGTATTTTTACTTGAATAAAAAATGTAAAGGTCTTGGCACATTTGCCATATATATGGCTGATGCCTTTTTGGTGTTTCATTATGATTTTTAACAGCATTATTCTTATCATCGTGGAAATATTTTTCAGTCACTTTTTAACAAATTAATACTAAAATATAAATTGAATTTGTATCTAAAACTGATTTAAAGAAGGGGAAAAAAAAAACATTCTTTTGGATTTTCTTTCTTTCTTTTTTACGCATAATCACATCTAGATATTTTGCTCATTGTTGATAATTATCTTTTCTTGACTTGAATTATGTTTTTGTTATAAACTCTTTCTTTTCGCTCTTTGTTTGATTGAAATGATAATTTTTTGTTTTTTCTTCACGTTTTTGCATAAAAACATCAAAAATTAATTGCACAAAAGATAGAGAAAAAGAGAAAAAAAGAAGAGAGAAAGACAAAAAAACCGCTTAAAATGAAAAAAAAAACAACCCTATCAAATCACTTACAAACTTAGCCATTCATTCCCCAAGCTAAAAAAAAAGGGAGGGCCATTCCAGCCACCAGTTCAGAAAGCAGGTCGATGTTTAATTTTATTGCAGTTTACATGTTTATTGTCAAATTTTTTCATTTTAACCTTACTCTAACTGGATGTATTTCATTTCTTCAATATGTCCTTAGAGCTGATGTAAATGATGGTCTTTTTAATTGGTTCAAATAAAGAGAAAGCTGTTTTCCTTTCTGGATGTCTGTTTGTATTTTAACCGATTGGAAATGGTCACTGTGTGTATTAGACAGACCATCCACATAGCAGTATGGATGATCTTTGCAGATAAGAAAGAAAGACTTCCTTTTCATCCATAAAGCACTTAACCTTCTCCCCAACAATGAATTTATGAACCATTACATCAAATAAGGATATGCATTAAAGTTGTGTTTTTTTTAATAGTTTTATTGAAAATTTAGCATCGCTTTTAATTTCTTTTTATATTATTAAAATGTTAAGCATCACACTTTCACCATTCTTACAGAGAGCTTACTTGGTTATTAGTTTTTTTTTTTTTTTTTTTTAAATTTAGTATATTATCTTTCCCTTTAACCATCGGTTTAAACATGATTGGTACATTAGAATAAGATACATCTATATTCACAATTACTGTTCACAGTCTTTTCGAAAGATACAATAAAAGATGGACTGTCAGAAAAGCTCAGGAAATGCCATATAAGGGAAAATTTTGGTTAGTTGAACATATAAAAAGTGCAGTTCAGTACAGCCAAATCATTTGAAAAAGGAATTTCGTATCTAATATTTTAAAAAGTTATTTTATTTGTTTTCAACTTCAACATCAAAAATATGCATCTGAAATTATACAAGATTTTTTAAAAATGTATTTGAAACATAAAAGCTGAGATTTTTCAAAGGCCTTATGTATGTGAAAGTTAAAATATCTTGTAAGATTATGAAATCTTGTCGAGCTATGTTAGTGCTGATACTGCCAACCTTGTGCAATGATTTCAACGAGAAGTTTAAAGGAACAGACTGGACTCTTTATTTAGCTAGATAATCAAGAGCTACATGTTATGGATATACTAATGCATTAAAAAAAACACTTATCATATTTTTTCAGCGGCTGAATGGTAAAACCGCAGAACACTGGTAGTTCCAACCTGAGTTGTATTCCAGGCAAATGACCAGTCTACATGGATATTTTGTGATATTCCCCATGTGTAACATATATATGAGCCAGTTTCAGTTCCACAAAGGCATCTGTCTTCTTAGACAGATAGGCCTAGTGTGATTTGCCATATTCTATCAAACAAAACAAAACCATAATTTTTCACACTGTACTATGATTTTTTATCAATTTTCAAATAAAATCATGCTCATTAAGTTACACATTTTGTGATGACGGGTCTCATAACTTTGAAAATACTCCACTGCATATTGTTTCATAAAAGGAATGTTCCCATATTTAATCAGCTTGTCAAAATGTGAGGAAAAAACGAATAAACAACAATTAACTTATGTCCTTTTTTCAAAAAAACTAAGCTGGCTAACTGAGAACTGAAGCAAACACAAAAACGTAGAGCCTGTATTAGAGAGTTTTCTCTGTGTTACCTTTCTAGGTGATACCTTAAGAGAGAGGGGAATAGGTTGATAAAAAGCCATGTTAAGGTTTGTCTGATTTCACACTTCCATGGAGGTGAGGAGGAATTGCTTATTTTAGCTTAACCATGTAACAGATTTAAATAATATTAAAATCTTGTAGTTTAAATAACTTAAATAGATGAACATTAAGGTATTTGTGAATGGCAATATTTGAAACCAGACTCGAGTGCCACGTGCGACTCTCGCACAAAGAATGTAATTTATTTTTAAATGTTAGAATATGTTTTTTTTTTTCTTGTTTGTATGTCGCCTTTTTTTTTGAGTGTTAAATAAAAGTTATTGCTGTGTTCCATCATTGGAGTTGCTTCATTTCGTCAAAGAAGTATTACAACCACTTGCGCTAAAAAGATGTGCCATGCACGGTGAGATGCTTTTGTCTCAAACTGTGAGCGACGTGAATACCATGTCGATAGGCATTTATCGCAAAAATGAAAGTACGAATAACAACGAGATTGTTTATTTCTCGAGTTAGAGCTCTGGAGTGCACTTGCAGACGCGGAGCAGCGTAAATGAGACACTTTAACGCTTGTTATATTGTAGCACACGGCACCACAACTGTGAAGTTAAATCGTAGCGCAAGTGGTTAAAAGGGTTGAATATACTAGTTTTTAAGTCAGGCCTATCCACTACTGGTGCTAAATCACATTGTTTTGTGACAATGTCCTGTACATGCTTCTCTCATTTGCTAACTTTCTTGGGGGAAAGGGGGTTAAACTAAAAAATTTCAGTTGCTTGTGTTTTTTTTACTTGGTTAATGCCAGATAGATAGGCTTTTACTGAAAAAAAATCTACAATTCTTCAAATCCTAATAGTTATCTACAATCTTACAAATTTTGAACAAAATAAAAACATTGTAGGCTCTTCCCCCCTTTCCCTCTTCCCCCTATGAAAATGCTTATGTTTCTTTGTAAATTCTTCATTAACTATCATAGATGTAACAAATAAAATATTGTAAATGTATATCTTAAATTATTCATGCAAATTACCGTTAATTAATGCAACTCAAATCATTTCAAACAAATAATTTGTTTTTAGTAGAGATGTATCACTATCAATTATATAAAACAACCATATGCAAAGTCCAAATCTGACTATAAATAAAAATGAGTGTTTGAATTTTAAAATTTCGAACAAATTTGAGAGCTGCCATCTTGGCATGAAAACCTAAATAAATAATTCTACAGTTTCAGTAACTTCTTTAACAGGCAGCAGATTTCAGATGTTAGTAAGGAATGGAAAATATAAACGTTATAAACATATGGTAAAAATTTTGGGTACATGAGATAATTATCGTATTATTGATTGGTGCATTTTAATTGTAACAAAATCAAATAAAATTTTACAGTGCCTTACTTGGTGCAAAAGAAAGTGAAAGCAAAATGTTGACTAAGAAGTAGTCAAGATCAAAACTATTTAATGCTTACGAACTTTAATCTGTATTTCTACAACTATAAAATTTTATGTAAATTATTCTCCTATATTCCGAGTCTGAATTTCTAAAAACAAAGAGAAGTTACAACACTATTATGAATTATGTTATTTAATGTAAATATCTCTCATTTCCCAACAATTGACATTATTAATTTTTATTGAAATAGTAAATATTATTTTCTTTTGAAGCAGAAAGTTATTTTAAACTCTTTTGTCATAAATTTGTTTTCTGTCATAGGCAGCATAAATTTGTTTGCACACATTAAATTTAATTATGTTGCTACATTATGCACTGCATCTGCATTGATTCTGCTGCGATGATATGCATACACCTATATTGCAAATGATGCTGCCCAAATGGGAAAATGGTTAGTGGCTCTGGCTGCCATCGAAGGGCTTGGGTTTGAATCCCAGAAATTGGCATGAGTGTAAATTGGCTGTCCCTTCACAGGAGGTAACGATGTCCCACCTGTTGTATTCTTCCATAATAAAGGGACCTCTGCTTCCAGCCTTAGTAATAGCCAAAGCCTATAATGGCTAGTGTGTGCATTTAGGGGGGGGATATTGCGCATGATTATACAGTGCAATTGAAGCAGTAATGTGCAATCACAGAAAACAACTACTTATTTTACTCTATGTATTTTTAAATCTTCATCTACAAAAATAGAACCAGGAAAAACATCAGGAGTAATATGGCTAATAACAATGAAAACACTTCTTTAGAAAATTATATTCAATATATTAAATCTTATTTAAGTAATTTAATATTTCAGAAAGAGTAAGTTTAAAAACTATGTTATAACTCAAAACAACATTCTCAAACACTTGTAAGTGCAGTCATTACAGTTTTCCAGATTATTTTGCACAGATGGATAGTTCCACATAGATTTATGAATTTGCAGAAGATTAATATTTGGATATTCTTTAAAATCATAGCTTTTTTAACAAGTTATCTCTATAAATATAAATAAATCAGGATAAAAGCTTTAAAAAATAGGTTTTATTTCCAGTACATGGTCTAAATGAGCTATTTTGTAAATCTGAAAGATGACAATTAACTTTTTAGATTATAGTACATTTCCACATACTTTAATATCTCATGTTGAATTTTTTTTTCAAATGTTGTTATTCTTTAGCTTTTAAAACAAATAATTTGAGTATGCTTTTTTTTTTTTTTTTTTTTTTGTAATAATCTATTTAGGAAAAATGTTTTTTGAAATAAATATTACATCAAAATGTAAAAACCCAAGTACTTAGTAAATGCAATATCTTCTCCAAAAATTCCTGCCGTCAAAGTTAATGTTAGTATTTTGGATATATTTATTTTAGACACATTAAATTTATTTTAAAATCTGGGTTATAAAGTGAGAGAGGAATATCTTTTGAAAAGTAAAATTTAAATAATAAATAAAGATTTCTTATGCAGTTTTAATTATCCAAACTTGAAAGATGTACATTTTTAAATAGATCATTATTTTGTATTATAAAATGTTTTTATATGACATTTTGCTTATAATGCATATATTTATAACGTGCTTTTCTATTGATTATGTGTATTTATATATTTTATACATAAAGTTGATGCAGTATGATATATAAACACTCTTTATTGACACAGTGGATCCTAACCACATAGAAATGGAAGTGGATGATGTGCCAAATGTTTGTAACATTAATATGCTGCCAAATTCCTACACTTTGATGTTACCTCAAGCAGATCTTCAACCTACTGATTTATCTATATATAATGATTCCACTTCAAACACTAAGCGAACTGCAAAAAGGAAACGTTTGCTTTCAGAATTAAGTGAATTTGCAGCAAAACGTCGATCTACAAGGGTAAGATTATATATATGTATGTTAATAATGTGTGGGCATAATTATATTGTTGCCATGTGCTATTTTGTTGTTTGTGTAATCAAAATTGAATTAGTTGCAGTATTTTTAAGATTTTTCCTTCTTCCCCCCCAAAAAAATAGCTGTTTCAAAATTTCAGTTATTAGAATTTGGTTAGACTTTGCATCTGTCAAATAATATTTTGCTATCAGTTTTTGTAAGTTTGGTAAAATATAATTTTTTTAACTATTTGAATTTAACAAACATTCTCTATTCTTAAAAGCTAATTTGAAGTTAATTAAATTTTAAATGAAATTGAATTACAAATAAATGATTAATTATTGCTGCGAACTTATCTACAGTATCATTTAAATTCTGAGAGCATATGTAAATCAAGTGCAAGTATCAAAAATCCTATGAATAAATATAATAATTCCAAAGTAATTTTTTTAATCCTTAAAAATTTTTATAAAATTAAATGCATAAGTGAATAATTGTTGAGCTGGCAGGAGACAGACTTATCAAGGGGAAGTTTGCCTCCAAACCTAACTCTTCAATTACTCAATTCGTGTTTCGTCATCCATGTAGGCAAGGAGTAAAAGTAAAATTCAAATACCAAATGTTGTGAATTACTAAAAAGAAGTTTAAACTAGTGGAATTTAGAGAAATTTTAGCAAGTAAAAGACTAGAATTAAAAATAAAAGTCAATTAAGAGAAAACCAAACATTTTTAGAAAACCAAAGTAATTTAGAAACTGTTGCCTACAAAAAACTTCCCCGACACGAATGATGCAAATAAATCAAAAAGAAACTAGATAGTATTTTTTAAAAATACATAAATAATACAGATAAGTAAATAGTAAGTTTTAATTTAACTTTCCAACTATATTTGTATTTGGAGAGTAGAGCAGCATGCCAAACTAAGTGATGTTACGTAGTGTGTTTCTTCTAACTTAATAAATAGAGTGCGCTAACATAAAGTTAAGTGTTAAGTTGCTATCTAGATCTATTTTACAAACCTATTCTGTAAACTTTTAAGTAATGTAAAATGTTAACTGTAAAATGCTAACTGTGAAGTATTGTAAAAATGTGTAAAGAATTATAAAAGTGCTAACTGTAACGTAATGTGAAGAAAAGGTTGCATATTATTAAGGATTGTAAAAAATCAAAAATGTTTTTGAAGAAAAGTACGAAAATTTTTTTTTGAAGTAAAATTAATTTTAATTTTGAAAAAAAATTTTAAATGTTTTTAATTAAAGTAAGAAATTTATTGTAATGGTCTTAATTAATTGAAACTGAATTTCAACAGGTTTAATGAAAACTTACTAAATACTGGCCAAAAAGTAAGGAAATTTAGAAAAAGATAAAATCTTCACTCCATTCGGGCTATAATTGAGACTTCTGAAAAGAGTTGGCCCTTCATTAGTAAAAGGAAAGAATACAGTATTGATTATATAAATTTTTACAAATATTTACAAGATAATCCCTTAACTCTTCAAAATCCTCCATTACCCTCCAGTTAAGGTTTAAGGTAATGTTATCATACCATAAAGAGTCAAAAAATTATAAAGAAAAGTTAATGCCTGCTTTTTTAATACATAAATTAATAAATTGTGCAACTTGGTTATTAACTTGAACTTAACTTTATTATATTCTTTTGAAATAAATTTTTTAACTATATGTTCTTTAAAAGCAAGTTTATTGTACTCTTTTGTTTAATATGGATCTAAATTGATTTCCTTTTTATTTAAGGTGAGAAATCCTGCTGTAAAAAAAGCGCATGATAACATCAATTATCAAGAGCTTCTCCAAAAATTCCTGCCATCAAAGTTAATGTTAGTATTTTTGGATATATTTATTTTATTAATTTATGGAATATTCTAATTAATATTCTGCAAGTTTTTTATTCACTTGCTGCCATAAAAAGGCTGTAGACTAATCGTGCCAGACTCTTTATGAGAATCAGATTGGACTTGAAATGGGAACCTCTTTGTCAGTATATTTATTTATACTGGAGAATTGTTTTCACACTTGTGAATTTGAATAAGGTGTAAAAGTAAATGAAATTATTGTGTAAGTGTATAATACCAACTGTACATCAATATTAAGATTTCTTAGCTGAAGGTAGCTAATAAGGTAAAAATATTTTGTGTTTCACGTTTCTAATTATTTTCTTTTAATATTTATTTTAAATGACAGATACTTTACTATGTTGAAAAGCTTTACAACATTACTGCATATATTTTATATCTTTGTTTTCCTTTATAAAGCAAGTTTACTTTCCTGCAGATGATCCTAATAGTATTTGTTATAGCACAAGTATTTTAATGTAACTTTTTTTATATTTCTTAAAAGTATTTGAAATAGTGTAGTTATGTTTAAAATTTTTAAATTTACATAATTTCATTTTTATTTCAAGCTTTTATACATTGTATAGTAAAACAGTTTACAAAGGTAAATAAGAAAAGTAGTAATCATATTCATATCTTTTTTAAAATTTATTTGTATAATCGTTATAATTTTTTATATCATAATATTAATAAGTTCTTTCTTGTTTGGCTTTTACGCATTGTTCTGCATTTTCAAACAAAAATTCCATGTTTAGCTTGTACTAATGAAGCTTCATAGCACACAACCTGAAAAATGCAAATGCTTTTCTCCTTTTAAATGCATATTTAACAATTAAAAATTGTATATAAGTAAAGAAAATATATTTGTATACATAAGAATTAAAATGCATGTATATTCTCTAAATTTAATTGAGTGTAAAAATTAGATTTTCAAATATTATGTTGTTCAAACATGTTATACGTAATAATGTTTGGAATTTTTTGTGAAAGTGAAGGTGAACTTGTAAATAAGTATTAATGAAATTTTTTCACGGCAATTAATATATCATTTTATTATGTGTTTAATGTTTATTAAATGTTATTTATTAAATATGCTTAATGTTTTTCAGAATTGAAACATAAATGAATTTAAACTTTCAGTTTCTTTCCCCCCCTTTCTGTGTATGTTCCATTAAAGTGCAAAGAATTTATAATTTTAGATGGAAAAATTTAAGTTTTATTGAAAATGAATGTTTAACACATAGTTGTTATTTTCTGAAGTGCAAATATCTGTTGTAAGATAAAATTGTAGAATGGTGTATTAATATTTCTTATTCAGTAAATCATGAAAAATTTTACATTTTAATAACAAGAAATCATTTGCTTTTGTATCAAATGTTTCATTTTCATCAACATGACATTCCCAATGCCTTTATGCCAACATTTGCTTTTCATTATTAGTGCCATATGTATAACCCAAGCCTAAAATAAAATATGAATTATTTTTATTGGTTTAATATTTTTTTAATATAGAAATTAAAAAAAAAAGATGTAAAATTTTACTGTTATGTATAGCTAATTTGAAAAAATATTAATATTTTGTTCATTGCCAAAGTTATAGATGATGAAAGGAAATTTATATGTTTTAGAGGTGATGGTAAATATGATGATCAAGATGACGATAGTGATCCTTTATCTCAGGACAAAGCTAGTGGAGATCATACATATGGGCAGTCTGCTGAAAATGAGAAAAAAGGTACTTTTCATAATTCTGTATTAATATAACAATCAGGTTCAGGAAAACTGTAACACAGGTTTTGAAACATTTTAACTAGTCAGATAAATGGAGAAAAGATTTAAGCATTTGGTCATTTATAGTATAGATGTAGTCATATAATATTTCTGTAAACTTTTTAACTTACATGGCTCTTGAGATACATCTTAAGTTTTTTTTTTTTTTATTCTGCATTTTAAACAGTATTAAAATTAACTCTTCAAGACAAATGGCCCTCTGCTGGTAAGGTTAGAATTGATTATATAAAACAGGATTTGTGCATTTAGATAAATTCCTTAATAATTAATTCACATTGTTTTTAAAAGAATTACAATTTAAATTTTTGAGCTTTCTGTATATATCATTCTTTGTTTGAGAAAATTTAGGTTAGATAATTTAGTTTGATTAGACTATCTGCTTGCACAGCCACTAAAATAATTGATATAAAACGAAAAAATTTACAGTAAAACCTCGAAAATACAAAAACTCAGTAAATGCTGATTTTCAGATATGTGAAAATTCTGGATAATCGAGCAAATAAAAAAAATGCACTTCTAGGTAGAAAAGCCAAATGAATGGAAGGAAAAATCTCTGGTCTAAAATTACAAAAAGAGTCATTTTATTTATTATCAACTAAATTAGCAAATGCCTGCATTTAAATTATGTGAGATGTCGAATGAAGTATGACATTCCAGATGCATGCTATTCAATTCTCAAATTCCATTGACCACGGAAATTGATAGTAATCTTGCCAAGCTCGCACCAGTCATTCCACCAGAAGTTTGAAGGAACATATTGTTCTTTATTTAGTTAATGAACATATACAGATTATGGACATAACATATAAAAGAACTTAAATCGCCTTGTTATAGTTTTTGCATGTTGCTCCACCAGTTATCCATTTTCACTTTTTATGATGCCAGGATCCCCTACTGTTGAAGACAAGTCCTAAATTTTAATCATTTTTGCAAAATTTGTTAAAAAAACAGATAAAGAGCTGTTAACTTCCATTGTTTTTTTACAAAAAATTAAATCAACTTATCAAGCATTAATTGAATTTAAAGCCAAATGGTATGTCACTCTTATTCATTTTTGGCGTTATAAATCGCACTGTTTTGCTACAGTTTTTGTTTAATTTGAAATGTTGTCCTGTTTGCTCTTTATAACAGTTACTAAATCTCTTATTTGCATTTAACTTAAAAATTTTTTTTAATACAAAAATATTCCGGATACTTGAGTTTTCTGGTTAGTTGAATGCCAGATAGCCTGGCTTTTACTGTATATTGGTTTTAATGAATCCATCTAATGTAATTTCGTGTATTTAGCTAGTAATTAATAACAAATAGAAATGAAGATCTGCGTTTATTGCTTTTAAATCACTTAGTTTGTCATTTAATAACAAATTAAATTTGAAAGAGAAATTAAATATCATATGCTTTCTTCAATGACATTGCACTGCTGTGTGGAAGCTAAAAATATTTTATGGTTGATCTTTACATTATGGTAACTTGGCGTTTTTTTTGGCGAAAATTTGGCGACCAACTCTCCTACAGCAACCCTCTATTTTTTTTTTTTCCCCCCGCCGCCATTTTGTTTTCACGAAGTAAAGACATGTTTCTTTTCTTTTTATCTACTGAACACTTCTTCCAACAATCTACTAGCCGAATTACACTTATGCTAGAAATTTTATGTAACAAAACTGCTTAATCATGACAAATATTCACTGCAAAATTGGGAAAAAGTGCACGATACCATACTCCTTACGCGTTTTTCAAAATAACACATACACATAAACCATGTACACGCCAACTTATTTTTACTTAAAAAAACATCCCAGAATTGCACAAAAAATGGCATTGCGCACACTCTTCACTATATCCATGTACACTGCTTTTTTCTCATAAATTAGAAAAATTTCACGAAAATACATGACAATTTTCTCAATCTTTAAACCCGGTAAAAAAAACATATATGAAATTACCTGATCGTGAAAAAGTATTTACCCTTTCCAAATATGAACATTTCCACATATAAAATAAATAAAATATCCAAAAACTTTTACCTCTAAATCATCTATTACATTATACACGTCACCAACGAATTCATACTGCAAGCATTACAAATACTTAGTATCAAATATTTAAATTATTTCCATGCACGTTTACTTCAACTTAAATGTATACCACATTCCTACAAACATAAAATTCACAAAATAACTATCATTTAATTAAAATATAATTAAATTCAAAAACACTACGTAAAATATAAATGAGCACATACATTAAATTAATTTAAAAATTATTACCTTACAATCCTAATTACTTTAAACTAAATCATTGCTAATAACAATTTTCCCAATAATACCAAATTCCTTTACTTCCACCTTACATTTAGAACAATGCATAAAAATAATATCCTCAAATAATTAAAAAATACTAACTTACCTAATCTTCTTCAGAATCTTGATTACATGTCCGATAAACTTTTCTTTAGTTACGGCCATGGGATCCAAAAATTCACAAACACTGTTTCACACAACACAGAATAAACCAAATACAAAATTTCCAGATTTTTTCCCGATTTCCCCCCTTTTCCGATTAAAGAACCATAATTCGTCCATTAATATCACATGACATATCCCATGATCTCTCATTTCCCTCACACAAAATAATGCGTAAATCGGAACTGAGTACTGCTCACATTATTACCAAAGTCCCAGGTAGTAACCTTTATCGCCTCCAAAATGTCGCCAAACTACCAGTTACCATATTGTAAAGATCAACCTATTTTATTTCAGGGATTGGGCTTTTTTGAATCACTGAATGTTGTTAATTAAATTCAAAAGGTGAATGCATTATGTTTTGCCGAATGGCAGCACATTTCTTTTATATCACTAGATTTTCTGATTAAATTTAAAACATAAATGTGTATACTATATATATATATATTTCTGTTAAAATTTTGGCTAAAAACTGCTCCTATTGCCATTTATTTAATTTAAATAAGTATACTCCTCTGATGCTTTCTGTTCATTAAAATGTGAAATTTTTATGAGGATTTTGTAATTATTCAAACTTATACATATTGCAGATAATAGCAAGGTTGCAATAGATTCAAGCTATCTATCCAGTACAGAAAAAGATGATGTCACTCATTTTATAGCAAATAATCAGTCCAATGGAGGGATAATTGATTTATTGTACAATTATACAGTGAGCCTCGCAAAGAAAAATCATTTTGTATGGTAAGTTTTAAAATACTATAAGTAAATTATTCAATAAAAAAATTATCATCTCTGTAATGCAAAATAATTTACTTCTACATAAACTATTTAAGCTATTTAATGGTAAGAAGTCCGAGTCAAATAGTTGAATGGGATCTTTTAAACACTGGTTAACAAAATAGTCAGAATATTAGGAGAGCTGGGGGATAGAACATAAAATGCAGACAATCGTGCCAGAAGCTTTATATCTGAAATTCCAAAACCCTACCATCTAACCCTATTATCTTTGCCTCCTAGCATCTATGAAAAAGAAAAGTTAAAGTAATATATCATAAAAATTGGTTAATTAACATAAAATACTTTACACGGTAAAAATATCATAGTGTTAAATTGATAAATAATGCATTATTAGGTAATATTTTAGAACACACAATTATATATTAAGCGACTTAATATATGATCGTGGGCTTTCCAGAATCTTACCTAATAGTATGTAACGATTTTGAGAGGCTGTAGAAGAGCTACATTTTTTCCTTTGCCATAGATTATTCCAATTTATAGATGTGTATGACATCTATTTTCTATATTTCAGCACTATTCATGATTCAGTCAGATTAACTGTATATGGCAGCTAATGTTTTATCTATTGTTTTACTACCTTAGATTTTCCAGTTTTATTTAAATGCAGGAATTTTGTAGATGCAAGAATGCTTATTGTAACAATAATATGCATAGTTCTGTGCTGATATTGTAACTGCTAAATAATTGTAGCATTGTTAGTTATTTTAGGAGGTAACTATTTTGAATTTATTCAAGAAATAATGTGTGAAATATAATATGTGATTGCGATTACTCAGAAATCCAGTTCAGCCTATTCAGTTCAAATGTGTCATTTTTTAATTAAAGCAGGCGTTTTCTTTCATGGAAATGCCAACAGAAACCCTCAGGACATCAAAGTTTCATTTTCATCTTATATGTTACCTTGAATTAATTTTAATGAAGAGTTTCACACAATATTAATGATAAATCCCTTACTTTATATCAATTGAGTGAATGTAAAAGTATGACTTATTCAATTCAACAGCATGCTACTGAGCATTATTGATCCAGCATTTGTTACCACTAATCAATTGAAATTCTGCTGGCTTTTTCTTCCAAAGAAATTTGTGTTTGTTTCTAAAATAGTTTATTATTGCATAATGTAATACATGAACCTTGTCCGTGAGTTCTTTCTTGCAACGACAGATATAATGATTATAAGCAGTTGATTAAATTGTAACATTATTTTTAACTCTACAGTACATTTTCATATATCTTCAAAATCATTGGTTTCCATTGTACTGCATCTTTTGCTGTGCCAAATGTAATAACCCATTTACATTTGGCAATTTGGTCATTACAAGGTCATTTGGCCATTACATTCAATCATTACAAGTCATTTTTATCTACAATCATTTTTTCATAGAATGATGTGGTATGTCTACATATCGTACCATTATACCTTGTTATTTGGTTATAATTAAATATTGCATTATGATGTCTAATATTCTATGTGAAAAAAGTTTGAAAATTGTTATTGCCTAGAAATATTAGAAATAACATACAATAATTTCTCTCTAATTTTTTGTATCTTATTCTGTTTGATTAAGTTGCTGAGAAGGTTATGGCGATGTCACAGTTTCACTGAAACTTTTTCAAAGTTTCTATTCTAGAGTTATATAAAAGGATTGTACAAGGCTCTTCAAAAGCACATTCAGGTTATCTTTTAAGCATGAGTTATGATATCTCTTTGAAATTCATGATGCCTCTTCTCAGCGAATTGAACTAATATAATGTGAGATCAAGCTTAGGAACAGCTTGATCATGGTCTGCAAAAGTTTCTGTTTTTAAATTTATTGCATTGTCTGTTCATGTCTTAAAGATTGAAAATTTCTTACATTCATTACATGTTTTGGATATCGTACTGTGTAAATATTTTGTATCATAAATTATACTTGTAGAACTGATATATTAAAAGTGTTTAGAAATTTTCAGATGTAGCTCCTAGTATATGTGAATATTGGAATTTCTTGTTCAAGATATATATTTTCAAAGAAAAGTTTCAAAGATATATATATATATATATATTTAAGAAGCAAAATATTTGGATTGGAAGTAGAAACCTTTTAAATGAAAACACCATATATTTTATGTGTTCATTTCACGAGTGACCAACAGATTAAAATTAAATTGTGTCCCCCCCTGCCAGTTTTGATTTCGAATGAGTTGGGCTATATTTTGTATTGGAATTTTCCTGAGTTTTGCTATGTGCTACATTCAAGTTGTTATTTTCTTTTATATTAAAACAGAAATGGAATAAATATTTGAGTGATTTCAGTTTTGAAACATATAATAGTTTTGAAATCTTAATGAATGCAAGTTTCAAATGTAAGCATGAATTTGATATAATGAGATACATTGATCCCCTTTTTATTTCAGTCTTAGATCAGTACATGATTGTTTTAAATGCTTAACCAGGAGTTACATTTGGAAACATAAATTTGATACAATGAGATGTAATGTTTTTCACTTTATATTATGTAGAATGCTATCTTGCAAGCAAGTATGTAAATATGTAAACATTTAATTTTTAATGTTAAATATTATAAAGCTGATACATAATTTTTGTCTTCAACTGCAGGCCTAAAAATCTTATTGATGTATATTGTGCTGCCTTCTGTAGACTGAGAAATCATATTACTACTCCAAATATATTCAGGTACATTTCTGAAAGTAATATTTTTCTCACAATTGTATTATATATTTTGTATACTGCTAAAAGATAATATATATTATATATAATAGAAAGATGATTATAGTTGTCCGTTTATTTCCACAGATATTAAAGATGCCTATATTCCATGCATTTTCAAATCTGCACTAAATTTTGCTTTCTCATAACCTCGCATACAAATAGCCAGATGTTTGCCAGGAGTCTAACCAATATAAACAGGATAATCCATATTTTTTGGCTTTAGTTTTAATAATAAAATGACTAGAACTTAAGAAAGAAAATGTATGCATATTTCGTTATTATAGTCTCAATGTTATAACTTTAATCATCTGGTTACAACATGGAGCGTTATTTTAGTAATATGAGAGGCCGCCAGCAACCTAATGTTAACATTGCTGAACTCTGATAGTTTGGTCTGGGGTTTGAATCCCCAAACAAACTGACTGTGTGGGCGTTTTTATGTTTTTCTTGTATGCAACATATGTGCAAATTAGTTTCTCTTAGTAAGTCCTCCATAAAGGCAGTCCCTTAGGCAGATAGCCCTTAAGTGCTTTGCCAAAATCAAATAAAACCAAACCATTCTAGTAAAATGTAATCAACATTTTTGAATGAGGTACAGAATAATGTAGGTGTTATATGTAGGTTATATTGTAAGTGTTCATTATTACAATAAACATATAATTAAGAAGCAGCAGTGTGATTGTTTTAAGCCTGTTGTAGTAGATGCAGTTGTTTCATAGTATCCTAGTATGTACTTGTTGATTTGATCTTGAAAAAGTCTTTATGGCATTTAGTGTCATGGTCCTATTTATAATACAGCACGAGAAATAATCTTGTATTTTAAAAAAGAAAAAAATGCTCCTCTAATGACTGATGGGTTCTTCAGCTATGAAAGCAAAGTTTTTAAAAGCAAAGTACTAGCATCTCATTAATTTTATTTCAAGTGTTGTTTTCATTATGCCCATACAAGAATGAAATGTATCCTATATTATAATGTAAATGATAAAGATGGTGTCAAAGTGATGTTTTTGTTTAGTTAACCATTTGTTTGCATCAGATTTTTACAATAAAGACAATCACACTTATTTACAACAGATTTAGCTATAAATATGTTGATTCTTTGTAATTATATGGAAATGGATTATTAACAGTTGTGTCCTTATATACTTCATGTTGATTCAATTGAATCTGTTCTTATTGTTTCAAAAGTCGAAGTGATAGGGAAAGTATAAGGAGAAGCAAGATGTTTTAATGTATGGAATTAATTCTCTGAAAACGTTTCTCTGTTGTATTAATCTTTCTCCCGTTATTAATTGCTTCTTCAAAATTCCATGTGTGTACCATACAAGATGTGCATAATAAAAGGAATCAAAATCAGTCTGAAATAATTGGAAGTCTGTCAAATTTTCTAATAACAGTGTATTTTTTGCTACAGCTGCTTCTGCATTTTTTGTCTCATCATCTGGCAGTGGTTCGTAAGCACTTCTCTCCATCAAGTTATCTTCTGTTTGATCCTCTGGATTGTACCTCCATCAAGTTATGTTCTGTTTTGATCCTCTGGATTGTGTCAGCTGTTGAATGTTTCAAAAATTCTTTAATCCCTACTTTTTGCCTCCATGTCCACAATTTTTTCATTATTTCTTTTCTGGCTTGTGTTAAATGCTGTGAGGTCAGGCTCAAGACTGAATACAGGATGATACTTCAACAACAATATATTAATTCAAGTTTTATTGAATTATGGCCCTTTTCTCTTTTTTTTTAATCAGTAATTTCATCTATTATATTTTTCTGAGATTTTTGGTATGATCTCCCCCCCCCTCACATGTTTAAGATTTTTTTCGATGGCATTCAAAATCCTTTCCATAGAGTACTATGCATAATGAGGCTTAATGATTCTAATAATCTTCTGCTTTAGAGGCTGAATAAAAGATACTGTATAATATACCATTTTAGTATCTTTGGTCTTGAACTCGTGCAGTTTTTACGAACAAAAAGCACTGGCAACTCCAGAAGAATCTTATAACGCAATTACTAGCCAGGTATTTCTTAACTTTGGACAAAGCATTGGTTAAATTAGTACAGAAAAGTATTTCTTACTATGCATTTGTGCATTCCCCCTGGTCCTTAAAAGTCCTTAAATTTTTTGGAATCGATTTTTGGTCCTTAAAAGTCCTTAATTTTGGCCAAAATCAGCAGAAGGTCCTTAATTTTAATCATCTGACATTGCTGTCTGTTTTTATGACTGCCATTTTGAGTGTGAATTAGTATTTTGGAGGGATATTTTTGGTGATTCACAGACACATATGGTTATCTTTTGAATGGGTTATAATTTGTTTCTATTTCTAATATAAGTGATGAGATACTCTTTCTAAGCAAGAATTGAAACATAAGCATTTCGAAATTCATTTTTTCTAATAAAGAAACCTTAAACAACTTTTCGCTTTTGGGGATGTGAATTCTTTTATTAAACGGTTCTAAATTTGGCGACTTGTCAACATTTTGGCAATTTTAAGATCAGTATCTATAGAAAATTTTTAATTCCGAGATCTGAGAATTTTTACACGATTTTTTTTAAAACATCACAACATTGATAAATTTCATTAAAATAATGGTAATATATTGAATTATTAAAAAATAACATTAAAATAAAACACTCTATTTTTCGCTGTCATATTATAAAGTTTCATTTTGGCAACTTATTATACAATATTATGAATCTGAAAAATAAGGCATAATGCTCTAAAGCGTAATTTACAAAACAGCTCTTAACAAGAGCAAAATTAGCTATTTAATTAATTAAAAATGTCTTCCTTTTTTTTTTCATAGTAAGCGTTTTCCCTGTCTCAGAATATTCAAAATTCTTAGAATATGCATCAATTTTCTCTATAAAATTAATTTTACACTTTTTCCCTCCTTTTATTTTTTCCAAAATATTTCTGCCATTACAGAATTGGTAGGGATAATTTTTCTCTAGTATTTTAGACATTGCAGCTTGGAAAGTTTAGAAAGATTTGAAGGCAAGATTTATAGACCCATGATTCTAGAAGATTCGAGAAATATGTGATAAAATGAAAAATGTCTCCATGCTATCAACATGCAATGGATGTATTTTACAGAAAGTTTGCGATGAATTTCTTACCTTTTGGAGAACGTCTGGAAGAACAATGAAAACATAATATTTGAATGTTTTACTTCTGATAGTAAAAATTTTTTCCTAACATGTTTATCTTCCCATTATTTTCTTTACTTCTCACTAGACACAAGTATGGAAAATATCAAAACTTCTTCTAATCTTATCACATGGCCAGGCATTATAGAAAGGAATTTTTTTATTAATAAAGAAATTGAAAATTTACAATTTAAAAAATTCATCTGATATGTCGTAATGCATCAACACATAGCTGGCACTAGGCATTTCCCACCTGATGCAATCTCTGTGGATCCTAAATTCTGCTGCCTAGTGCCTTTCTAAATTCTGCTTCCAATGCTTGCTCTAAATTCGAAAGTTTTGCTATTCTAGATTTGTTGTTCGGTGTGTCACTAAGTTTTAAAAATTGCCACATCAGCTTTGTAATCGGCTTTACCATATATATATTTTCTTCTGAATGTCATATATAAATAAAATTAGCTACTTTTTCTATACATTCTAATGCATTTAGTGTTTTTTAGAATAACAGAAATCTTTAGTTAGATTCAAAAATTCCAAAATGAAAAGGAAACATGTCGAAGAAAGAAACTGAGTAAATAAAGAAAATTACTCTTCAAAGATATGTGCAGTTGTTATTATGTAACTTACCTGTTGTTTATGATTTCAGCCTTTTAGTTTATGATTCAGTCGAGGGTTTGGGCTATTTAACTTTTACCAGATCAAGTAAACCCTCATAGGTACCTTGTGAAGAGGTTGACAAGTTAGAAGATAAGCAAGCAGAAACTAGCGAGAGCATTGGTTTGCATATTGAGACAAATCTCTAATTGTTAGAAAAAGATGCTTAAAAAGAAGGAAACTGATATAAACTAGCCAAAATGTTTGGGAAGGCATAAAATTAAAATGAAGGATAAATATTTTGTTGAGTGTTGTTGTTACAAAACATAAACGTTTTGTAGCTTTTAATGTGTATCCTAATATCGTTTAAGAATCAATGTCATAAATTATATATATTTTAAACTGTAAAAATGTATTAACTTTTGATTTTAATAGGCTTTTTAACAAATATTGTTAAAAAATAAAATTTAATAGTGGCCATGTAAATCCATTATGACTAAGATTATCTAATTAACTAATTTAATTATTTATAACTAACTGCTTACCCTTTAAAAATTATGTGTACGTATTAAAGTGAGTTATTGCCTCTCATTAACACTCACTGTGGTCACAAGATAAAACACAAAAATGTAAAAATTCAAGTAAAACTTATTCTTTGCATCTAGTGAAACTTAAAAATAATACAAAACAACCTATCATCTCTGGTACTTTAATCGCTTATTGGAACATTAAAGTATATTAACTGGGCTACAATCCCTTGGAACTCTACACAAAGCTATGACACTAACTGCATCAAACAGAGCCTGACTAACTTTCAACACTTCACAACTGTGTCTATATCAGGCCTTTCAGGTTTGTTGTAATGAGCAGGTCTCTCTCTAGACAAGCAATAGCGGTAACAACCTCCAGTCTTTTGTTATGAGTCATGCTGATTATGATCTTACTTCTCATTTTAACCTATGCCTTTTGACATAAAATCTACCTGCTATTTACTAAACTGACTAAGTATGTGACAAAATGAGACATTAAAAAAAAAATCGACATAAAGCTAACTATTAGTAAAACGTAAATGTCACTTATCTTCTTTCAAATATGTCCTACTATTATAAGTGTAAAATAGTTAATGCTACTTGATAAATTTCATACAGTTTATTTTATTCTCAAACTTATTATAATTATGTTAATTATTCATGTTTAGTAATAATGCATACTACTCAGGGAT